ATTAAAATAGGCTACCTAACATTCTTATAAAATGGCTTTTGAAAAGATAGTTGCAGCATAAAGCAGCCACATGCTATCCTCCAGGTTGAACATAAGGTGCCACAAGGTGCCATACAAAGAGGCACGCAATGTCTAGCTGATGCAACAGGAGACACCAGTATAAACAAATTAAGTACATCATTGGGAACTTGGGTCGAAACCAAATTTTACTCTATCAGGGACTGTTCTTTTCTTTAAAAAATACCTTCAAATATAAGTTTCTGAAGCCACCATTTTATACAAGTAAAATAACAAAGTTTATGATCTCACTTCTTCCAAATACCTGATGTCATTCATTTCAGGGAGCTGAAAGAAGAAAAGCAGTGCAACTTTCCCAACTTCATGGACTACTCTCACTATGAGAGACTTTACATAGTAGCCGCCAACTTGAAATTAAGATTGTTTCCTGAAATGACAGAGAAATCTAAAGACAGCAAACTCCTACTGATCGGAAAAGGCTCTCTAGAAAAAGCAAGTGTTTCTAAAGACTGCAGGAAAAGCTTCCCCACCCTGAAGAGAACACAGCCTCCACTAGCACCAAAGGACACACTGTGCATTCAAAGATGCGCCTCTCCTAAGCAGGGAGACTGACTTTCCTTGGCAGGCAACGCACTTTGGTAACTTCAACATTCATTCACAGGATGACTTTTCAACATGTTTAACTAAGTAAACTTCAGGATGGTCAGGCTGGCATATGAGAAAATAAGGACAGTTAAAGTCATGACACGACAGCTCCTCAAAAGATCAATAAAAGATTTTATCAATAAATCACCACAACTGAGTCCAGGGCTTTAGGCTTAGCAAATAGAGTTAACAGAGAAAAGAAATAAAAAATTTGATTATATAAACTAGGCACTTCAAACTAAAATAAAAAATTTAAGTTTTTAAAAAAATGTTTTCAACTGTAGTCTGAGCTCCCAAGTTCTTTGTAACCTCTGATGTACACAGGAGGCCTGGGATTTGCTGAAAGTGGCTGGTCTTACATAGACGGAGCTCTACTACAGCAGCACAAACACATTAAGGCAGTTTCACTGTCCAGACACTGCCAAACCAAGATTCCAAAAACGTTGTCTGAAATCGCTGCAGCACACTATTTTTAAAAACATGCAACCACTTTTTCTATAATAAGAGAATAATGACATTATGGAAATATCTAACTGTATTACTTTAGTAGAAATTTTTTAAAAGTTTGCCTTCTTATGGTAGCTGGTACTGTTCTCATCCCCTGTCCAACATAGTTAGATTTAACACCCACAAATGCAGCAAAAATCTTTACTTAAAAGTAATCTAGAGTGAAACAGCCATTGAATGTTCCCCAGCCTGAAATCTGAGCACTGGGTCAATGCTACTTTACTGTTTATCTGAACCATTATTATTTTGGCAAATCTGTCTTGCTGAGGAATTTTCAAATAAAAAAACCCTATATGTCACCACATTCTGTCAAAAATGACACTAGAAGAGAAGAAACTGGTATAAGAAAAATAAGGAACCTCACTTTAATGATCTTAAAGTCTGTTAAAGTTTGCTTAACTACAAATATTCCTTATAGTCATGTTTACCACAATAAACTTTCTCCACTCCCTCAATTTTGTTCCACTGCTTTAGAAATCCTGTTTCTGCATATTCTCTTTTTAGTAACTAGCATAATATAAATAAATCGTCTTCTGTCAATAACTTATAGGGAAAACCAACTTTTCTTTTCCCAACTCTGGGCTTGCTCATTTCATACGAATTTCACTAGTCTTTTTCCTCACCCCCAGTTAGTATTAAGAACTCAGAAATTACTCCTTCATTTGGATATACGGTTCAGAGTTATAATGCCCTTTTTGCAGATGAGTGAAACAGTACCACATGGAAATTTCTTATTCTCTTGTTCACCAATTCCACAAATCAAAATCTCTTTTCAGGTACAGTATTACAACTTTAGGACTGTTCATTCACCATTATAAGAAATAATTTTCTTTGTTACACTAGTACAGAACTGCCATTATATTATGTAGTAATATACTTTATGGGAATAATAAAGCTAATACGATTCTAAAACATGATCTGAGAATCTTCTACATAAAAGCCAGATAGATAACTGGCCTCTATTAGATGAAGGGAGGTGCAAAGAACATGTAGATGAGAGAGGTACATGGAGGGCAGAGCTGGGAAAGAAAGCTAAAACAAGAAAAACAAAAAAAAAGACTGAAAGAATGAATACAGCTTCCAAAGGAACAGGGATCAGTTTATAACCAGGAATCTGGCTCAGCAGTTAGAAGGCAATTGGGTTGCTAAAGTAGCAAATGCACTGACTACTTCATTCCATTTAGTACAGTATTTTAATAAAACACAAGTTGTTCTTCTGTTAATAGCAAAGGGTATGTATCATAACATGGAATCTCTTCATCCTAACCCAGAATGGAAGTTCAAATGTTCAAACATAAGACTGAAACAAGGGCATTTAAACATTTTAGTACCTTCTGTTTCACTGAAATTGTAATTTAGAAAAAACAAAACCAAAAACCTAGCAATGTAATTAACTATGTAATTATTTGAAATAAAAATCAGGGTTATGCTGGGCATGGTGGCTTACGCCTTTAATCCCAGCACTTGGGAGGCAGAGGCAGGTGGATCTCTGTGAGTTCAAGGCCAGCCTGGTCTACATAGCAAGCTCTAGGCCAGCTGGAGCTACAGGAGACTCTGTTTAAAAAAAAAAAAAAAAAAAAAAAAAAAAAAAAAAAAAAAAATCAGCGTTACTTGTCAGGGGGTGGTGATACACACCTTTAATCCCAGGACTAGGGAAGCAAAGGCAGGTGGACCTCTGTAAGTTTGAAGAGGCTAGCCAGGGCTACATGGTGAGACCCAGTCTCAAAAAAAAAAAAAATAAAATAAAATAAAAAGAAGTTAATTAAGGAAAATATTTGTGGACAATAACCTCTATTTACAACCTTTACTTGAAATTTTTTTAATGCAAAAAAGCCAATGCCAAATTTGCTTCTGAGTTGTTAGAATCACTGGCATGCTAGATGTTTACATAGTTAGAACTGACTCTTAGAAATGAAACAGGGACTGAAGGAGCTAATACATCACATCACAGGTGAAAATCCTTGTTTCCTTCTAAAGTGTATACCTATTTGGTAGTTAAAAAAACTGAAAATAAAAGCTTTTCTTGTATAAAATGCTTAGTTTTAAAAAAGCAATTTGTCCTGCATTCTAAAATTTAAGCCCTTTAAATATCACAAAGTTACCTTCTTAGGTCTTAAGAAAGATAGCTATTCTTAATCTAAACTAGAATACTTCTGTTTAGTCATACTGCTAATTTCTATGGAAGAGATAATATAACTGGCTTTGATCTCTTTGTGATGTTTTCCATCTGTTTAGTGAAAATTATACAACTAGGCATTCCTCTCTTAAATCAATTTTAAATAAACCTAAATACTACTATATATACAATTATCCCTTGCAGTTGTGTTTCCTATTATAGATACATAAACAAATCATTCTCAAAAACATAGAGCCTCACTGAAATAAAAAGAGGCCTTTGGATCATTTTATATTAAACACTGGTCGGGGACCCATATTAAGATTTGGGCAGTAAGCAACTATATATATTTTCACAGTATATTCAAACTGGAAATCTTTAGGACTTGAAATTACCAATGAAAATCTATAGTGAGGAGTATCCTTCATTGAGAAAACCCAGCCAGGATTCTGTAGAGCTGCCAGGGCTATCTTAATACAGAAGTCTCAGGACAGGGGATGTACTGAAACATTTTCAGTCAAGAAATCTGAAAATAACTCTTACACATCTCTTTATTCTGATTTCTTTCTTCCTTCCCGTAACAAAACAAACAAACAAAAACCAAACAATAAAACCTCAACTTGGAACCCAGGGCAATGATAATTCCTGACTGTAATTTAACCTAGTCTTTACTGTACTAAAACAGGATTCTGATGTAAATTTTAAGATATATTTATTAGTAGGTGTAATAGTTTTCAAGGATTATATATGACAGTAAAATAAAGACTCTGACTTTTCTATTTTATTTTTCTGAGCGTCATACACACCTATGATAAGGAGTAAATAGGCTCATGAGTGAGGTAAAAAAATTGGAAATAAAGGCCAGGAGTGTAGCTCAGTGGTAGAGCACATACTTAGCATGTACAAGGTCCTGGGTTCAGTGCTCAGTATTAAAAAAAAAAAAAAAGTTGGAAGTTTAAGACTAGCAGAATATAGGCAGAGACAGAAAAAAAAAAAATCCTAACCTAAAAAAATTCTGAGCTTATTTTTTCTTTATATGTGTGATAAAATTAAAGAATTAACTAATTTTAAAGAAAAAACAAATTAATTTTAATTAAAAAAACCAGCATCTTAATAAAATCTTATGTTTTACTAAAGAATTACAGTTTGAGCTAGGTGTGGTAGTGCATGCCTATGCTAACACTGGGGAAGTTGAGGCAGGAGAATCATGAATCTAGGCCAGCCTGGGCTATACATGACCCTGTTATAAAACAAATTACCTAAAGCCAAACCCAAAAAAACAAAAAACAAAAACATTCCAAAAATTTTGTTTCTATTTTCTAAACCAATCAAGATATTATAATGATGAAACTTTGGGAATTTTATAATATAGGAAAAATTAATCAAAAGTTCATTATTCATGGACTTATGAATATTTCAGATTAAAGAGGCTTTAATGGCACCAGATGAAAAGTATATCCCAGTTTAGAGTATCTCATAAATTTCATCATTTAAGTGGTAAAAAATTGATATTGTTTTTAGTCTTAACAAATCCTCCCCCAATTTCTGAGTGATAGGTAATCATTTATTTTATAGTCTCATCTTTTACATTATTGTTTACATTGTGTGAAAACTATGGTACTTGCTTTCAATAAACTTGTCAATGCTTCAAAATATTTTGGAATAAGGACAATGTGTCGTTGTCATATGTGATTTTGTAAAAATCTTAAGAATGTAGCCTCAAAACAGAATTCTTTATTTTGTCCAAAACAGCACATCAAAAACATCCCCCACAATACATAAACCTATATATAAAATATAGAATATCTTCAATATTTTTCTTTTATACGGCAGCACAATAGTATATGCAAGTGAAAGGGATATTGATGGGACAAGGGAAACTGACTGGGCGATGACCTAGTTAGCCAAGTTAGCCAGGCATTAACATTCGAAGACCAGGTAAACATTAACTTTAGTAAAAAAAACAGTATTCAAAAGAGTTCCTATAAAGCTGGTTGGGGTATACATACCTCATTCTACATTCCTGGTCATTCCATCCACAGCCTGACCCCTCTTAATCATGTATCTCTGCCTTTGGAGTGGTACTATAAAAGTATGGGAAATGCCTACCCAATACCAAATTTTCACCATGAAAAAAATCATAATAGCTTAAAAAAACTATGGTGGATTTCAGAAGTATTTGTCATAATGTTAAAGAAAGCTTTCAAAACTACAGGGCTTATGACATACTGCATAAGGGAGTAAACATCTACTTAGGCTATTGTCAAATTCTGTTTAGTAACTTTCAACCTCAGGAAGGTCAACAACCATCTGATTTCTTCTGTATCTAATGATTTGTTGTTAGCCTGCTTTTAACAAAGGAAGAACTGGTATGATTTAAATCAACTGGTTCCTTACATCTCGGAGTTTATGTTCTGCTTCAACAGTATGCGTTACTGTATACCCACAGAAGCCAATCTCTCTTTTATGAAAAATTAACAAAAAACCCCCAACAGTCTTAGGGCTTTCAAAGGGAAGCCCTTTGTTTTTCAGAAAATTAAATTCAAATGTACAAGACCAACCACAGGCACTTTCCAAAAACCAAAAATGAAGCCAAATCACAAAATTATTCAATAGTTATAGACGACAGCTCTGATTTAGGGGGGTCATCCCGGGTGGTCTCGGCACAAGCACTGGTCTTTGGCTGTTCTTGCACTTCTTCCTCCTTTTCTGTAAGCCCACCAAGAGACCCCAAGGGGAAAGTGCTTTCACAATTCTGGGTTGAAGAGACCTGTGAGATTACAGGCATTTGAACAGAAGAGTTGCTTTCAAAACTGTGTTCTCCAAGATCATACTGAACAAGGGTCTCTTCTTGCTCCTGATTTAAGTAGTCCGGTACTAAGAAATCACTAAATGAAAGGCAAAGGATAAAATATAGAATTAATTTTCAAACCAGTGATAAGCAAGCTACAACAAAGATGTAACCTGTAAAACAAGATAGGGACTTTTCATTTCACTAATTCTTCAAGGAAGTTAATTGAGCTCAGGAACTTATAAGTTACATTTTCTTAAATATAAACTGAAGTCACTAAATAGAACCAAAGTGCATCATCTTTCTCTATGGATAATTTTTAAAAAAAGATTAATGATCACTTTCAGTGATCCTCTGGACACCTCAATGGCCTTCCTTGGTCTATGTTCAAGAGCTGGATTTCCCTAAAGCAAAGATCATGTGAATAATTTAAATGCTTAACTTTTCTTGGAATACACATTGAGTAAGAGGTATAGAAAAATCCATCTTTGCATTACCAACTGGATATAAATTAGCTAAGGAGCTAAGTCCTTATAATAAATGACTTTACATGTAATCTGCTATGGGAAGTTGAAAGATGCACAAAATAATGTGTTGTTAGTTTTGGTATATGAAAACTAATAAAGCACCTTTGAATGAAAATTTGGAAAGAATGTTTATTACAAAATAAGTCTTGGATACTTTATTTAAATGTTCATTACTTAATTAAAAAAGGGTATTATACTAGGCCTGCCAATAACTAATATATTTGATATGACCATTTAATAATTTGATTATTCAGTGTTAACAGGAAAATTCAAATTTGCTTATCTGTCTTGAAAAGTTAATTTCAAATGTCCTGTGTTTTTATTTTTGGGGCAGGGTCTTACTATATAGCACCAGTTGGTTTGGAACTCGCTGTGTACCAGGGCCTCGAAAGCATACAGATTCGCCTCTCTCTGCCTCCAGAGTGCTAGGATTAAAGGTGTGTACCACCACACCCAGCTGTGCTGTAGTTTCTAAAAAGTCTTCATGGGTTAGACAAGAGTAGTGTAAGACACAGGGCCCTGCATAGGGAAGACACACAGAGGAGTGGTGAACTAGACCACTATTTTGGCACTGCACAACTATGTTTAACAGACGTATGATCTAGCCTTAGTGATGGCAACCATATATTTAGAATCAAAAGTGATTAACCAAAATAAAGCCCTTTTTTGAAGGGGGAAAAACAAAATCTATGCATGAATAATGTGGAATTTTTAAAAAACAAGATTTAAAAATTAAGGTTAATTTAAAAATGTAAGGGTTTAGAAGGATTTTATTGTTTGGGAAGCTAAAGGACTCCTACAGAGGTTAAAAAAAAAACAAAAAACAAAAAAAAAACCCCCACAGAATAGAATTTTATATCTATGGGAGAACTTAGATGCCATCTTGTCACTGACTACATTTCAAATGTCACCTGTAAACTAACATGCTCAATCAACAGCAGCAGCAGAGATAGAAATGGAACCTTATTTCCTTGGATAACCTATAAATCCAGAAAGGTAATATCAAATTAAATTATTAATACTAAAAGCTGGAGTAGTAAGCTGAGGATAGGAGACTTTATTGGATCTAAATGTATCCATGATAACAGCTGTCAAAATGTTTTTATTGGTAAATGGATATTCCTTTATATAGGATTTTAAAAAGGAGGGGTGGTGGTGGTGAAGAATTTCTAGTCTAAAGCAATCCAACATTATTACGTATTACCTAACATGGTATATCTGCCAGTAAGAACTAGTTAGGATTCACTACAGAAATTTATTTAACTTCATATTAGAAAAAAACAAAACAAAACCCAAGGGGATAATCTTCTGTGGGGATATATATGCTGTTTATTTTGTAGGAAATATTTTAATACCAACTATAAAATATGTATAAAGCTTTATAAACTTAGGAGATCTAGTAAAATTTTATCAGATCAGGAGATCAGAGTATGCATATTGGGACTTTAAAATGAATGGGACTAATTAGCTGGCAACCTGATAAAAACACAGCAGGCTGCTTTGACAAGCAGGAAGAGTTTAGAAAGCAGTTTTCCTGATTGGGTTTTCCGCTGTGCACCTCACCTGCTCTGGAAGTAGTTTGCTAGCTCTGATGCTTCATGGTTCAGACTCCTCAGGTGCACGATTAAATTTCCCGAGTTGGTGAACATGGCGCCACATGTTTTGCACTCGTAAATCCGAGGCTTGCGGATAATGTGCCGGGAAACCCTCATATGGTGTTTATATTCCCCGAAGGAAGTGAAAGTGGCACTACATATCTGGCACCGGAAACAGCGTTTACCTTCATGCTTTAGGCGATGCATCTTTAGCGAGTAAGCCCTGGTGAACTTTTTCCCACAGCGGTCACACTGAAATGGTTTAATTCCTGTAAGACAACGCAAAATAACATCTGAAAAATAAGCCAATAGGTCATAAACCTCACAAATTTCTGAACTACAAAATTTTTTTTGTCTTTTTGAGACAGGGTCTCCTTGTAGCCCCAGCTGTCCTGGAACTCACTATGCAGACCAGGCTGGCCTTGAACTCACAAAGATCTGGCTGCCTCTGCCTCCCAAGTGCTGGGATTAAAGGGGTGCGCTACCATGCCCGACCTGAACTACAATTTTATAACAATAATTTATTGCTTTTTGTTTTGAGACCAGGCCTCCCTATATCCCCAGCTGGCCTTGAATTCACAAGAGATTGGCCTGCCTCTTCCTCCTGGGCTCTGGGATCAAGAGCATGTGCCACTAAGCCTGGCCTATAGCAATAATTTACAAAGACAAAAACTGCCAAAAAAACATAATGTTATCTCAGATAAGGTGCAGAATATCTGAAATCACTAGTGCTTAAAAAAAGAGGGCAGATGAGGATAAAACCAGGGCATGCATATTTAAGGTGATTTCTGAATACTCTTCTAAATCATTTATTTTACAGCCCTCTAAAAATTTATTAATGCCTCTAGTCAGATTTAACTGTCAGTATGACAACAGTCTAGTTACCTGAGAAATGAGTCTCAATTGATATTTTCCAGAGAAGACTGGCCTGTGGGCATTTGTCTAATTGGGGATCTCTTGATTGTGAATAAGCCAGCAAGCAGCATTACTATATGATTTCTGCTTCAAGTCTCTGCCTGAGTTCCTGCCCTGACTTCCCTCAATAATGGAGTGTATGTAACCTGTAAATTGAAATAAGTAATTTCCTTCCCTAAGTTGTGTTTGGTCAGAGTGTTTCATCATAGGAACAGAGAGGAAACTAGAACATTCATTAACTATTTATTTATTTGTTTGTGGTACTGAGGATCCATTCCAGGGCTAGTCAAGTGTTCTAAGACTGGATCATATATCTAGCCACAAATCATACTGCATTTAGACAACCCAATAACACATTTCATTAGAGAGGTTTATACTGAAGATAGATCCCTTATCTATGATGGTTAGTGGTGTGAAACCTGACAAATTTTGTCAAGGGAGATGGGGGATGGGCTTCAGGGAAGGTATATGGGGATTATCTTTATTAAGTTGACTGATGTGGGAAGACCTATTTTAATTGTTGGCGGAAAGGAACAGGGAATCCTGGACCATATGTAATGGAAAGTAAGCTGAGCACTAACATGCATGCTATTGTTCTCTGCTCTTGACTATGGATGTGATGTGACCAGTTCTCTCAAGCTTCTGCTGTGACTTCCCTGCCAAGACAGACTACTGAAACCTGGAATTGTGAGTCAAATGGACCCTTTCACCTTTAAGTTGCTTTTGACAGGACACTTACAATAGCAACACACACACACACACACACACACACACACACAGACAAAACCCCAAACTAAGACACTATCTTAGACAGAAATGAGAAGAAAAAAAAAGAAAAATTCTAACACCTTTGTAGGAAACAATCCTAACAGACCCACTATATGGTGGATTAGCTTTTTGAGTATTTAATATAATATTGTTAGCTATTTAATAAGCGAGTTATAAAGAATATTAACAGTCTCCTAATATTCACTATCCTAATTTGGGTGGGGGAAGCTTAAAATGACAAAACACAACCTGTGGATTTAACAAAACCAAAGAATTGGTGTTAGGCCAGGGATTATTAAGAACTATCCAAAGAAGAACAAATAAGATACTAACACAGCTGAAAACAGCAGCAAATATCTTTTATCCTTTGGTGGTCAGATTTTACCCCAAAGAATCCTTTACCTTTGTGATCACTGCACATAAGCTTCACTGAAATCTGATTTACACCATTTATCCAATAATCTTTCTTTTGTTAAAAAAAGAAAAAAAAAAAGTACTATAAGGCTGACTAACCAGAGCAGAGAATGCTAGAATTAAAATTTAATATTACATCTTTAAGCACTTTTTATTTAGCAATAATTTCAAACTTATAGAGAAATTAAAAGAGTAAGAATGACATAAAGAACCTCCATGTTCTTTTAACCCCATTTGCTTTACCATCTGTATTTGTTCTTTCCTCATCTATATATGTATACCTAATATAGTCAGTATATGCTAGTTAATGTATTTACCACACATATTACCTCTAAAGTTTTAACCAGAATACTTGATATCTGTGGTGACTGCATTTGTATTCTGATGCTGTACCATTTCAGAAACAGACTCTAGTCAATCTTGACTTCTTAGAGCTTTTCAGTTGTTTCTGTTCTCTAATGCATCTGTTTATCCCCACCCCCTCTCTCTTTTGAGACAGAGTCTTGATATTACATAGCCCAGACTGGCCTCAATGGTGGGATTATAGGCACATGCCACTATGTCCATCCCAAAGTGTTCACTTTCTATTTTAGTTGTGAATGCAAAATGTTTTCACATGCCCCCCTTATGCAACAACAGGGAAGGTGACATTACCTGAGTGGATAAGCATGTGCTGTTTCAGGTTCTGAATACGGGTGAATCGCACCCCACAGGTTGGACACTGAAAAGGTCTGTCTGGACCATTTGGACTTGGCCGTTCTGTACTGCTGGTAGAAGGAGCAATGTAGAGTTGGTAGGGATACTGAACATTTTCCAATCTAAAAAAATAAATCAAAGAAGGCAACCAGGCTCTGATTTTTAAATTGAATAAAAATTTCTGCAGCTCAACTTTAAATGAATAAAAGAATAAGCAAAGACTTTTCAAAACAGATTTTTACTTAGAACACAGAAACAATGTTATTGACTAGAGTGTCCAGCATCTTAAATTAAGCATGGATGACAGAACATGTCATAAGCTATTTATTTAAGATATCCTTCCTCCCTGCTACTATTTTGATTTAGGCCCTTATTATTTTCCCCATTAAATTCTGGAACAACTGTTTTCTTCAGAATAAATTCTCAATCGCCACGAAAAATTTAAGACTCTTCAATATCTGAACTGGTCATACTCCCCCGACTAAACATACCTTATCCTAAGCTAATTCCTCCCATGTGCTATATGTGGTATCTCCCCACATTTAACACCTTCTACAAGCCTATCTTCTTTGCCTGGGTAATTTCTACTCATTTTATAAAATGTAGCTGAGTCACCACATCCTCCTGGAAGCCTTCTTTGATTTATCAGTGGTTTAGGTAGGAAAACTTCCTACACACGGCAACAAATTCCTTGTATATTACTCAGGATGATTTGCTATCTTCAATCCCTTGCCCTAAAAACTCATGGAGAAGGCTACAGAGATGGCATGGTGGTTAAAAACTTGTACTGTTCTTGCAGAGAACCCGAGTTTGAGTGCCAGCACCCATGCCAGGTAGTTCAAGTCCCTGTAACTCCAGCTCCGGGATCTAATACCTCTGGCCTCCTTAGGTTACCCCCACTCCACATGCACATTTACATATAAAACAACTCACAGAGCTCCTTGAGAGAAAAGGCTATTTCATCTCTATATCCCAATCATCCAACACAGTATTTAATAAAGAACAGATAACTTCATTACTGTTTTATATTAAGAAATAAGCACACACGTTCCTTTTTGTTGTTGTTTGAGATGGGGTCTCCCTGTAGTCCCAGCTGGCCTGGATCTCAGAGAGCTGTCTGCCTCTGCCAGAGTGCTGAGATTAAAGGCTTGCACCACCATGCCTAACTGAATAGGCACACTTATTTTTGCTTTTATTAATTCATTCAAATGATTTTGGTTCATAATCCTCCAGGTTTAGCTATTCAAAAATAATACACTTTGTGGAGTACTTTGAATCCTTAACACTTTCAGCACCAGATCTCCTGGAACTGGAGTTAACAGTTACTGAGAATATTTTGCACTCTGTATGAGGAATAATTAAATCATTCAGTGGAGTCTATATTCAGTGCTGAGAGACGAACTTGAAGAGTAATCAAGAAAATGACCAGAGAAGAGAGAAGTAAAACAGAAAGATCCAATCATGACTGGTACTGTCTTAAACTGGTAGTCAGTAAAGGCCTCCTTGAGAATTGACACTAAGTCAATGATATGAAGGTCAAAGAGCTGAGGGTGAATGGAAATCAGAGAAAGCATAAGGTAAAGGTCATAGGATGGCAGAAAGGTCCAAAGGCAGTAACCAATATGGAGGATTTTAGGAACTGAAAGTAGGTCAACGTGGCTACAGTGTAATGTGAAAAGAATGGTCTGATGAGAGTCATGCAAAAGTCCTAATGTAGGGTTTTAAAATGCAAAGCAAGGAATTTAGGTTTTAAGTACAAACAGTGACACAATCTTAGTCAAAAATGAAATAAAGATGATTCTGGCTAGTGTAAGGAGAATGAACTAAGTAGCAGATACTAGGAAAATGGACTAAGGTGTGGAATCAGGGGCTAATTTCAAAGAACTGCCAATAGTCAAGGAAAAGGATGGTGGTGACTTAAACTATGGTGGCTGTAGCACAGAGGAAAATAGACTAGAGGTTGGGGATATATTCTGAAGGCAGACTGAAAAGGAGTTAAAGATTAAATACAGAGGAGAGAAAAAGTAGGAAGTGATGAGATATAGAAGGATAATGTGTAATTTTCAGAGACTGTCCTTGAAAAACTAGAAGATGAAATGGAAGCTGGGACAGAGACTAGAGGGGGTAAGACTCAGATGGGGAGTTACAAACAAGAGTTTTATCTTAGCTTTGTTAGGCCTGAAATGGCCCTCTATATATGTACGTGGAATTATCAAGCAGGAAGCGTCAAATGAAGACAATTACTCAGGAATCATGGATATACAGAGCAGAACTTGGCAAACTTTTTCTTTTTTTTTAATATCTTCAACAAATTTTTTATTTAAGCTGGGCGTGGTGGTGCATACCTTTAGTTCCAGCACTTGGGAGGCAGAGGCAGGCAGATCTCTGTGAGTTCAAGGCCAGCCTGGTCTACATAGTGAGTTCCAGGTCAGCTGGAGCTACAGGGAGACCCTGTCTCAATAAAGACAAAAATAAAATTATTTTTTTTATTTTATGCATATGAGTGTATGGCTTGCATGCATGTAAGTGCACCCATGTCGGTCAGAAGAGGGCACTGGATCCCCTGGAACTGGAGTTACAGATGGTTGTCAGCCACCATGTGGGTGCTGGGATTTAAACATGGGTCTTCTGTAAGAACAACCAGTGTTCTTAACCACTGAGCCATCTCTCCAGTCCTTTTTTTTCTTAAAGCAGACAAGAGAGTAAACATTCCATTTACGAAAAGAGACTACGCAGTTTTAGAAATGTACAAAAAAAGGTCTAATGTGATTCCTTGCACAATTTTGAATTTAGAGTACTTGGATTTAGAGTTGTCAAGCACAACCTTTACAAGAAAAATGCACACTATGTTAGTACTAACCGGTCATCATCATCTGCATGAGCATTGGTGCTAGAAGTATTTTGAAGTGTAGGCAACCCCTCGGTAACTCCTTCATCTACTGAGCCTGGGAAGAGGATTAAAAAAAAGAAGTTATTAATGTTTGGTGCAAATAACCCAAGATAGTAACTGTCATATACCCCCAAAGTCATCTAACACATATTTATAGTGTTCATATCCTATAAAAAGTAGTGATATTTTGGGGATGAAGAGATGGCTCAGTGATTAAGAGCACTGGCTGCTCTCAAAGAGAACCTGGGTTTTGTTTCCAACACCCATATGGTGGATAATAAGTGTCCATTAACACCAGTTTCAGGGAATTTGATGGTCCTCTTCTGGCCTCCACAAGCATTATACACATAGTGCAGTTTACATACATACAGGCAAAATATTCACACATAGACATAAAAAAGAGCGAGGCATGTGTAGCCCATACCTTTAATCCTAGCACTTGGGAGGCAGGGGCAGGCAGATCTCTTTGAGATCTAGGCCAGCTTGGTACATAGCGAGTTCCAGACTAGCCAGGGCTACAAACAAAAAACTCCCCACAAAAGTAAAAGTAAAAAAAAAAAAAACCCCCCCAAAAAAAAAAAAAAAAAAAAAAAAAAAAAAAAAAAAAAGTTTTAAAGTAGTAATATTTCCTATTTTACTTTTGACTAAATGTTTTTGTGGCTTAAAAAGAAACCTTACAGGGCTGGCAAGATGGCTCATGATGGCTCAAGATGGCAAGGTAGGTAAAAAGGGCACTTGCCACCAAGCCTGATGAGCTGAGTTTGATCCCTGGTAGTCTACATGTTAGGAAGTAACTAATGGCCACAAGTTATTCTCTGATTTACTTGCATGCCATACACAAATAAATAAATCTGTAATATAAATGTTAAAAAGCAAATTAAAACAAAGGAATCATATACAAGACTTATTTTAGTATGTAAATTCTTTCAGTACTGTTTCTTTGGCAGGAACCTCAGAAAACAAGTAGGGCAATTTAAAAGCCACATAAAACTGAATGATACTTACCTATCATTTAAAGTGTCGATAATCTGTATATTGTAAAACTTATTTTATTGTGACATGATTTTTATATAAAATTTAAAAGATAAAAAGCATCCAGGCAACATCTACACAAGTTACAGAGAAGCAGTGCTTGCATTCTAGAAATCATCACTTGCTTCTTCAAAACATTGATGTTGCTATGTTAACTGCTTATTTTTATTGTTGCAGAATATTAGCAAACTATTCTCTTGTAACTGACAATTCAGGTTTATTATGAACTATGTTGCTGTAAATGTTCTGGCATAAGCAACTCAATACTCAAGTGTAGGCTTTTGCTAAGGTATATACTAAGGAATGGGGATTGCTAGATCAGACTATGGTTATTTTCACCTTTATCTGAAAATGCAACTCTTACTGGAGTACTACCATAAGTATAAATGTGCTGTTCCATATCTGCAGTAACATCTTTTATTCTTTTTAATTTTTGGTAATTTGGTTGATGTGCATTGGTATTCCACTGTGTTTGTGTTTCATTTTTCTTCTTATCAATGAGGTAGGGAAGTTTCATAGATGTAAGTGCCAGTTCCAAGTCTGCATTTTCATTACAATTTCTTTTCAGGGGCTGTGAGATAGATCAATGGTAGAGTGTTTGCTTAGCATTTACAAGCTCCTGGGTTCAATCACCATACCACAAAAAAAAAAAATTTTTTTTTCATTTTAGATAAGCCTTTTGTCAATGATATATCTTATAAATAGCTTTCATAGTTTATAGTGTACTTTTTTTGGTCTTTTTGAAACAGGGTCTCCCTGTACCCCCAACTGGCCTGGAACTATGTAGGCCAGGCTGGCCTTGAACTCGAAGATAACCTGCCTCTGCCTCCCAAGTGCTGGGATTACAGGCGTGCGCCACCATGCCCAGCTATAAATAGTGTACTTTCACAGTTTGATGGCCAAAGGTTTTTAAATTTAAAAATCTCTTTGTCTTTTTTATCTTTTTTTTTTTTTTTTCAAAAAAAAAAAAAAAAATAAAAACCAACTTTCTTAAACTAATTTTTTTAGGGGACACGAGTTTGAGACAAAGTCTCACTATGTAGCCATGATGGGCCTGGACAGCCTGGCACTTGCTCAGTGTGGCCAGGCTGGCTTTGAACTGAAAAGAGATCAGCTTGCATCAGCCCCTGAAGTACTGAGACCAAAGGTGTGCATCATCATGCCAAGCTCAATCTCAAATTCTTTTGAAAAACTTATGTTTTGTCTTTTGAGCTTTAGGTCTTCTATTTCCTGTGGATTTAATTTTGTAACCAAATTATTTTTTCAACTTTTTTTCCTTCTTCCCTTTCTTTTTTAAAAAAATATTATTATTTTTATTTTATGTGTTTGAGTGTACTGCTTGCTCTGTGTGTAAGTGCACCTGTGTCGTGCAATGCCCTCAGAGGGTCAGAAGAGGGTATCAAATCCCCTGTAACTGGAGTTATGGATGATTGTTAGCTGCCATATGAGTGATGGCACCTGGATCCTCTGCAAGAGCAGTCAGTGCTCTTACTGCTCAGCCATCTCTCCAGCTGCCCCGTAACCAAATTATTCAAGGAATTTCTATTCTGTAATGCTGTTTCTGTAACTTGTTAAGTATATGCAAGTGAACAGGTTTTCAGGTTCTCTATGAAGTTGCAATTGCTTATCTTTTGTGTGCATTAAGGTAAATCTTTAATCTAGTGTTACAATAAATCTTGATCTCTAGCAGTATAATTCTTACCACTTTTGTGTACTTCTTGAATGTTCTGGCTATTCTTGGCTCTTTGCATTTCTTAGACACATTTCTGAATTAGTTGGTTCAGTACAGGTGTTAATGAGCACTTTTCTATTAGTTTGGACATTCTGTAGTACTTTCCTACTGATTTTACTGGTTGGCCACCTTAGACATTATATATATACTGGGTTGGGGATATAGCTCAGTGGTACAGCAACTGGGATCTATCCCTAGCAGCCCCCTCCCCAGTATAGTCAAAACCTTTACTTCCTCCTAGATAATACAAAGATGTTTGGCGGCCTTTAATTCCTTTCCTACCTGTTTGCATTCTGTAACTTAGAAATTATCTGGTATTTTGTTTGTGCTCACTTTTGCCTCATGAAGTCCATCAAGATTTTCTAATGATGATTTGATGTTTTTGTTTGTCTGAAATCATTCTTTTCACTTCTATTGAGGTAGGGTCTCATATAGTACAGGCAGAAGGAAGGACAACTTTAAAAACAACAACAACAACAACAACAAAAAACCATACCTCAGTCTCATGTATTCCAGGCTGCCCACAAATTTACTATGTAGCAGAGGATGACCTTTAACTTCTTAGTGATCTTCCTGCCTCCACCTCCTGAATACTGAGATTGAAAAAATGGACCAAGGTGCCTGGTTTTATGCAGTGCTGGGGATTAAACTCAGAACTTCCCGCATGCTAAGCAAGTACTTTACCAAATGAACTTTATTCCTAGTCTTCACTTTCATTCTTTTTTTAAAAATTTTTATTATTTTTATGTGTATGTGTGTATTGCCTGCATGTAGGTAAGTGCACCCATGTTGTGCAATGCTCTCAAGAGGACAGAAGAAGCCGTCGGAACTGGAGTTACGGGCAGTTGTTAGCTGCCATGTGGATGCTGGGATTTGAACTCGGGTCTTCTGCAAGAACAAGCAGTGTTCATAACTGCTGAGCCATCTCTCCAGTCCCTCACTTTCATTCTTGAAAACTATTCTCACTTGTTCTTGTTTACTTTCTGTTGCTGAGATAAAACACTGACCAAAACCAACTGGAAAGAAAGGGTTTATTTCATTTTACAGGTTACAGTCCATCATCAATGGATGCCAAGGGAGAAAATCAAGGCAGGAAATGAAGCAGAGACCATGGAGGAACACTGTTTATTGGCTTGCTTAGCTATCTTTGTTATACAGCCCAGGAACACCTACCCAGGGATGGCATCACCACAGAGGGCTAGATCTGTCCTACATCAATTACCAATCAAGAAAATGCCTCATAGACATGCCCATAGGCCAATCTGATGGAAGAAATTCCTCAATTGAGGCGTGCTCTTCCCAGATGTGTTGAGCTGACAACGAATGAGCAGAAAACAAGATTGGTATTTACATTTTTCCTAGGACAGCATCCCCCGGTTTCTGATGCTGAAAAGTCAGATACTTTTCTTGGGGGGGGGGTCTTTTTGAGAAAGGGTCTCCCTGTAGCCCCAGTTGGCCTGGAACTCGCTATGTAGACCAGGACGGTCTCAAACTCACAGAGATCCGCCTGACTCTGCCTCCCAAGTCCTGGGATTAAAGGTATGTGCCACCATGCCCAGTGAAAAGTCAGATACTCTTAAAGGTGACACAGCATCCTTTTTTTAAAAAAAATTATTTATTATTTTTACTTTATGTGTACGTGTGTATTGCCTGCATAAGTGCACGCATGTAATGCAACGCCTGTGGGGGTCAGAAGAGGCTGTTGGAGCCCCTGGAACTGGAGTTACAGTTGTTAGCTGCCATGTGGGTGCTGGGATTTGAACCCGGGTCTTCTGCAAGAACAACCAGTGTTCTTAATCACTGAGCCATCTCTCCAGCCCCAACATCCTTTTTTATTTTCTGAATTTTTGTTTTGTTAATTTTATTTTCTGAATTCATTATGTGTCTAGATTTGTGTTTCTTTTTATTATTCCCGTTTGATATTTGCTGACTTTTAGTGAACTGCTCAATTATCTTTCCATTCCCATTGTTTTTTCCTTAAAGAAAAGGGAACTTAACAGTAGCAATTCCATTTGTCTTAGAATGAAAACTGGAAAAGTCCAAATATTTGGATTTGGGAACCAGAACATAAAAAATTTCTTTGTAGTATTCTTAACTTATTCAAGTGAAGACAATATTAATGTTTAGAGGCACGATGACTAATCTAGTGGCATTGTTTCTGATCCTCAGGAAGGGTGTTAACTTGGTAAGGTAGAAATAATACCCACTCTGCCTTTGATTCTGGAATGTCAATGGTTTATTAAAAATCTACTGAGGAGCTGAAGAGACAGCTCAGCAGTTAAGAGTGCTTC